TCATATCCGGGTGGTTCAATCTTGACCCATACCCATGTGACGCATATTGCACAGAGCACGAGGAGCGCTCTTGAGATTTGGGCCCGGCAGGCGTGCGGGCGAGCTGAGCATTGGCCAGCAGTCTGCCAGTTGCTGGAGCGGGTGAGGCCCGATTCGCCGCCCGTTGCGAGTCCGAGATAATCAGATATTTCCCAAAAGTGAGCAGCACCTTTGCGTGCCATCAGTATCAGTGAGTTTCCCAGGTGGGCCGGAGCTGGCTGCGAGATTGTGGCAAAAAGCAGTTGATTGACCATGTGTTGTTTATTTTTCCCCGCAAGGAAGTACCTGATTTGGTTACTGCCGCTTTTGCACATTGTGCCGAGAAGCATTCAAGAGCCTCATCCCCCGCCAGGTGGGATGAATTGAAGACTGCGGACTGGCCGCGCGTCACCACTGCGGCCATCACAGCTTTCGGCCGCTTGTCTGTGGCAAGCGCGCGCCCGGCGAGAAAATGCACGAAGCCGGCTGAGGCTTCGGACGGTGGAGCAGGGCGCACTGGGCGCTGGAGGCTGGCCAGTGGAGTGCTAGTTGGAGAGTAGGCGTAGGCTTGGTCTTTTTGAGATGCACCCTTTCTCTATGCTCGGGGTCTAAGATCCCTCTGACCTCGCTGAGAATCCGGCTGCGTTTGCCTCAGCCCAAAGCCCAAACCCTATGATCTTATAAAACTTATAGCTCACCAGAACCCCAAAACACCATTCCCACCAGATAGACGTTTCAGCCTGCTGTTTCGATTTCGGTAAATCCCGCCGGCTGAACGTGGAACATGCCAGCGAAGACAAAAACCACATCTATCATCTATCCATAAAAAGGACGTCAACAGCAGAGTTTGGCCTAGTGCTTCAAGGTCCCAAAGTTCTGTGTTTTTGTTTTTGTTTTAGGGTTTAGGGTGTGGTTCGTTCAATTTGAGTCAGCCAGGTATGCTCAGTGGGGATTCCATTTTGGGAGGGGTCGTCGGCCTCTGAGCTCCAGCAGCCTTGCTGTGGTCACGAAGGGGTGAAGGGCCCCATCTCTGCTTGCAGGTAAGCAGCGAAAATGCCAAAAGAAATGCGACATTTTGCTGGCCAAAATACGATAAATCCGGACCTGCATGGAATTGGGGAGGGGGTCTCCTGAAATCCATTCATGGCAAATCATCAAGGGGATCAATGTATCAAGAGTTTACTTTACGCCTAATCTGAGTGGCAGATTGTGCCTGGAGAGAACAACGCCTTGCTCATCCCCCATGGTTTCGTTTGAGGTGGGAATTGCAAGTCGGCGATTTGGGCCACAGCTTCAATACGCCTCAAAACGGGAGGTCCTAATTCAAAACAGACAGATTTGGTTTTGGCCAGAGCTTCGTTTTCAGGTTTGTGTTTGGGCGTTGGGTTTTAGGGTTTAGGGTGTACCTCATCCAGTTCGAGGGCCGCTGGATTTCGAGAATTCGAGGCATTTGAAGTGTCAGACTAGGAACTCAGCACCAGGTTCAAGTTCGACGAAGATGCATTCAGAATTGCAAAGCAAGAAGCAGACCAAGCAGGATTGGAGCCGTCATGTTTGTTTTCGGATCCTCGAATGCTGTGGCCCTGAAGACCATCTGCCCAAAAAACGGGTTGCCCCTGGATGGCAACCCCGACACTTGATCCTCACAAAATCCGCCGTGTTCTTCGAAGGGGGGTGCTTGGGATCATGTCTATGTTGCTTCAAGTCTCTCTCAAACCATCGGGCACCCGGCGTCCTGGGAGTGAAGCACATCGGCAACACAATCTCTCTTTCGCTTGGTGGGAAAGCCAATTTCCCAAAGCATTTCGCAGTTTGAGCCCGACTCACTTCACATGACCAACCATGTAGGAAACCATCTTGGCGACGAACGGGAAGGGTATTGGATAAATGAATGCTGAGCAGGAAGTAAATAAACAAACCGACAAATAGACGAAGCAACAGATACATGAATGCCTAAATAATGCAATATACACAACCACTTAGAGGAACATATGGGTATGGGTCAAAATGATTCCACCAAAGGACCGCAAGTGTTCTTCGTCCTTTCCATGAACCAGGGCAACCCCATTTTGGGGCTACCCGATTTTTTGATGACCACAGCCATATGTGATAGCTATATGCAAACCGCCATGGAGGAAGAAAGAAAAACAAACAACGCCCAACAAAAAGAACAAAAAAAGGAACAAAAAACAACGAAAACAAAACCAAAAACAAACAAAACCGTCTCCCCTAGCGCCGCGCTGTCTCTCCAGAAGCTGCGGGCAACTGGCCTCGAGGGCCTGAAATTGAGCGCGGCGCCGGTGAACGCGGCCATGCGCTGTGTGCCGGAGAGGCGAGGAGATTTGGATTTTTGGACTTTGCCTGAAGCAGGTTTACGTCCACGTTCCTGCGCTGGGCCATCTCATTTAAGCAACACTTGCTTGTCACTTGCTTCTTGAAAGAAAGCTTGAAGGACTTTTCAGTGAGAAACCAAGGGTTTTCCTTATTGTTTCCACCAGGTAGACGTTTCTTTTTTAGCCAAGGCAGGGGGAAGGAGTTTGAAAGAGTTTGAAGGAGTTTTTGGAAGGGTTTTTGGAAGGAAAAGGACAGGAAGAGAAGGAAAAGAAGGAGAAGGAAGTGAATCCAGAGCCTTTCGATACACGAGCTTGATTTGGTGGGGTTGGAGTGACAAGGTGCGGGGTGTCCCTCTGGTTGCTTTCGGCTTCGGGAAGTTGAGAGGATGGGCAGCTTCTGGCAGAGGGTCCTGGTCTGCGCAGAGGACTGCGGTCACGTGGTTTTGCGGACCCCGGCTGGGACCCTTTTCCCCCTGTATGGTAGAGAAAAGGCCGTCCGGCCCCCTTTTTTCCGTCCTGCCCATTGTAGAACCAATTTTTAGTGGGGATTGGGATGTTCGCTGGGGGTACGGGCTTTGGATTTTGACCCACGGCCATCTTGCCAGATGCCGCAAGGGCACGCCACGAACCAAACAGAAACTGGAACAACATGCAGGCCTGTAGTCAGCGGCTTGTTGAATCAAGACCCAAAACGACAAGCATGTTGCGCGCCTTTGAGGCAGACGTCCGACAATTCAGTTGATTCTGCGGAAATTGCACCGTTCTGTGATTGAAAAGGTGCTCAGAAGAACCTTTTTCAGCTCTTTTGAGGGTTGACCATGCAGCGCCTTTCACCTTGCTGTTCTTCACGGCGACATTCCAGGGCGCGAGCCACCTGTAAAACTCCCAAAATAAGAATACATCATCATCATCATCATCATCATCATCATCATCATCATCATCATCATCATCATCATCATCAGCATCAGCATCAGCATCAGCATCAGCATCAGCATCAGCATCAGCATCAGCATCAGCATCAGCATCACCATCACCATCACCATCACCATCATCATCAATGACATCATGATTCTTTGCGTTGTCATATTTCTCTTGAACCCTGCTGGCAACTTGCATTGCCGCAATGCTTAGGCCCGCAGTCACCAGGGCGCAATTCACTGCCTGGCAAGCGTTGGAGTGAGGCCTTTTCATGTAGCCACATCGTTTGAGTGGCAGGACTTCATTGACTCACTGAAACATGTAGGGTTTCGTGAACGAGCAGCCGGGTTCAGATCCTCTTCTCAGTATCCAGGTCCAGAACTCCGAGATCACCTGACGAACCAGGCTTCACATGGATCGACCTTGTTGCATCGGTCACGACTCCCATGACACTCCTTGAAAGAACAGGTGGAGTTATCTCGTATATGTCCGCGTGTGATTGGCAGGGCATGTTTTCCAAGGGATCAAGCACAGAAACTGCGAGTGTAGATGCTATGCCTCCAGATGGCCGGTTCCTTGGCAGGAAACCGGCGGTTACGGAGTCCTGTTTTGCGCAGCGGACATTGCGAAGCTATCATTCTTCAGGTTGGAGAAAGTTGTGGTTCATACCATACACCCTCTTCCTTGCACTGCAAGAAGGCCACCAGCACGACATGGTCTTGTGCGATGCAAGATATCGTGACCGGGAATGTGATGCTTGGGCTGCTGATGATGAGAAGGCAACGTGTTGAAAAGATGTTGCTTTGTGTAACGATGGCTCCCTTATTTTCGATGTTTGAATGAAACACTTCACTTCGCAGCTTGCCAGCATTATTTCACTTTGACGAGATCCGTACCCAAAATGAACCGCAAGTGGAAACAGGGACTAAAACCTTCGGTCCCCTGGCGGTGGCGGTGTAATTTTGACCCATACCCATGTGACCAGACTCTTCCCGTAAATTCTTCGAAGGCAACTGGGTAAGACCAGTGGGAGTGCCAATGTGCCCGAGTGGTCTTGCCACACATTCTGAGCTTTGCTAGCCGTTCGCGTGCGGCCCGTGCGAGGAGCTGAACCTGCGCGGCCCGTGTCCGGATCAGATCACGCTGAACACGGCAGCGCCGCCCTCACTTTGCAGCTTTTTTCTTGCAGAGAGGTTGGCCTGTTTTTGGCTGTCCCTCTGATTTTTTTTCGAGTTCTCAAAGGGATTCTAAAAATCAGCAGGCTTCTGGGAGGAGCGCTTTTTTCTTCTCCGATTTTGAAGACCAAAAACCACAACAGGCTTTGCAGCGTCAACCTTTTCAGACATCTTGGGTGTTGTTACTGGAAGGAACCGCGGCCAAGCCACTTTGTCCATTCCTGTCTGCTATTAAGCCTTAACAGTTAACTGTGCTGGCCCATTCTGCCACATGCGTATGTTCAACGCCTGGGCTTCTCCTCAGGTCCAGGCCTGTGCCAGCGCTGCAGCGTGGGAGGCGGCCGTGGCCGCTTTCAAGGCCTCCGCGCTGGCCGTGCGGCCGGACGCCGTGAGCACGGGGCTGAGGAAAGCTGGTTTGAACCAAACAGGGCTCCTTAAAAGATACGTTTTGCCCATTTGAAACATGTTGCTTTTTCCACCAACACAAAGACCGCCATTTTACAAGTTGCAATGTTCCGGTGTATAATGTAAGGATCCCTGTTAAACCTTCCTTTGGTTTGCCTTGGACCTTCTAGCTTCCTTTTTTGTTGTTTTGCATGGCTTGAAGGGTGTTTGGAGTTGATCCAATCTTGAGCCAACTGGAAGAGGGCCCTTGGTTCGCTCGAGGCCTCAACACGGCCATCTCCGCCTGCCGGGGCCCCGGAGGGGCCCTCGGTTCGCCTCGTGCCGTGCGACGCGCGCCGCCTCGGTTCGCTCAGCGCTCGCCTCAGGCGCGCGGGCGCGGGAATGGCAGCGCAGCCTGGCGCGCGGGGAGGGGGGCGGGGCAATGGGATCCCATTTTGGAGTAGGTGAATTCACCACCCATTTTAGAACCTATAGTGGGATTGGGATGTTCACTGGGGGTACGGGCTTTTGATTTTGACCCATGGCCATATGGTCAAAACTAGATACCCAAAACGAAACCCTGGCAAGTGGAAACAAGGACTAAAACCTGTGGTCCCCTGACCCATATCCATCTGATCAGACTCTTCCCGTAGATTGTTCGAAAGCAACTGGATAAGACCATGGGTTTTCCATGAAAGCACCAAAAGTCAAACAAAAAAAACAGCTTTTCGCAGGGGAGCAGAAAGCCGCCGAGAAAAGAAAGGGCCTCGCCTTGGCCTCGTCAGGGCCTCCTCTTGGAGGGCTCGGTGGCCCCGACGGTGGTGTCCTTCAACGCAGCGACGCGCGCCTGCAAGCTCTGGCAGGCCGGATGCGCTCTGGCGGTTTTCTTCGAAACCCAGGCCTGTCCCTTCGAGGGTTCCTGATCCTTAGGGGTTTATCCTTGCAGGGTCAGGTTGCGGTTCTCCAAAACCGGGCCTCTCTTCTTCTCAGCATCACCTAATGTTCATGCATTGCAGCCGTGTCATTCCCCATCCTCAATTGTCCTCACAAGCCTCCCTCAAAGACATGTAATCAACGATCAGACCTCGCAAATGTGAACGCACGCAAAAACAACAAAATAACTTATGCCTGAAAAAACACATCCACACACACACAAACAACACATCGTCTTCAAGGCAAAAAAAGGGAAGCGCATACCTTTCCCAAGCTCCCAATCCGAAGCCCCGGATTCGTTGGGATGGATGGACGAGTGGCACGGCGGGCTGCTGCGGAGCTTCTCCAGCGCCACGGGCTACGGCTTCATCTTCAGCCCCGAGCTGCGGCAGCGCTTCGGGCGCGCCTCGGAGTTCTCATGGAGTTCTCGGCTTTCTCGGCTTGCTCGGGTGGGGGGAGGTGGCGTTTATTTTTTGGGTGGGGTGGGGGTGTGGGTTGGGGTGGTTTGGGGTGGGGTTTGGGGGTGGGTTGGGGTGGGTTTGGGGTGGTTTGGGGTGGGGTTGGGGTGGGTTGGGGGTGGTTTGGGGTTGGGGGAACTGGGTGAGACGCGCCAGGAAAAAGCGACGGTGAGTTTCTGCCAGGGAAAAATGAGAGAGAGCGAGAGACTCCAGTTTGGTCAGGAGTGCGGACCTGGGTTGGCTGAACATTCATCCTTTGCTGGTCTGCGGTCTTTTCCCCCCAAAGCCGAAGGCGTCCCATGGCCCAGGGGCCACTGGTTTGGCGTTGGACGTAGAGACTTGCTTTCATTCGGTGCCTGTGCTCCATACCTCCACGACTCCACGACTCCATGCAAGACTTGCGCTGTTTTGGTTTACTAATTCATTGAGCTCAAGCTTGAGGTCTACATACCGCTGAGTGACCACGGGGGCAACCAGGGACTTTTCTTTTGAAGGGCTGCATTTGACAGGTGGCCTGCAGCTGACGCTATTTTTTTTCGTGAGGCGTTGTGAACTGCCTGAGGTGATGTGTACGTCCCTGTCTCGCTCCTCCCTCCTGGGATCTGCTGTGGCGCTAGCGTGCAGTTTACCTTGGCCCGCGCCCTACAGCGAATGCATGTCATGACCTGGTGTGGCCATTATGCATCCTTCTTTGGTGCTTGCCGATTAGTAGCTACATGCTAATTCTTTCAGTTGGGATTCGTGTTGCGCATTTTGTCGCCCACTTGATTCCAGAGCAGCACCAAGGCCCTGAATGACAAGGGGCAGCCGCAATGCCGGCAGCTCATAGAGCAGGACAGCAATTTTTCGCACCGTTGGTGTGTGGAACGAATGTGCCAAGAACATGGCGCCCATCACGTCATTCCACAGCACAATGTTGATGAATATGGGGGTGTCCCTGGTTAGTGCGGATTTGTCAACTTGAGGGGAGCACCCCCCATATTCATTAACGGGGGTTAAGTCTTTGGTGCATTTTGCTTGGATGTTAGGACTTTAACTTTTTGCCAACTAATAGGGTTTTCCACCAAACCACTCAAAGTTAGTCACTTTTAGCAGGGGAGCAGAAAGCAGCCAAGTCATTCGTCTGGGGTCAACATGACTTGGTTTTTCGGTTCCCGCTTCGGAGGTCCTCGGGACCCGGAAGTCGTTCGTCCCGATGAGGACACCTCCGAGGCGGACGCCATGGCCATGTTTGACATGCTGCCGCTGGAGGAGCTGGAGCCGGTGGGTGGAATGTTCCCGGCGCCTCAGGGATTTTGGTTTCGATCGGGCTGCGCCACGGAGTGCTGGAAGGGTTTGCTTTCCAAGTGATGAAGTTGTCATGGGATGGCAAAACAAGTTCCAGTTCCAGCAGGCGGAAATTCGGAACGACGCCTTTTTGCGGTTTGGATGATCTTTTCTGCGCCGTGCCATGCTCCAAGGCCTGGAGGTTGCCTATTGTTCCCGGAAGCATTGCGAAGGGTTCTTCTTCTAAAAGCGGCTGCCAACTTCACCTGCCAACTTCTCATGCCAACTTGTCGAGAGTTACTTCACCTGCCAACTTCTCATGCCAACTTGTCGAGAGTTACTTCACCTGCCAACTTCTCATGCCAACTTGTCGAGAGTTACTTCACCTGCCTACTTCTCATGTCAACTTTTTGAGAGTTACTTCACCTGCCAACTTCTCATGTCAACTTTTCGGCTGTTATCTCATTCTACTAAAAGCACAAGCTAATTTGTCGGGTGTTACTTCACTATCCTAAAAACACAAGCTAACTTTTCTGTTCTACCTTCACATCTCGACTCTTAATTCTTCTTCTTTTTATGGCGGGGGTAGGCCCGACGGGAGCTTACGAAACGCACCCCTCTGCGGAGATCGTGCGTGTCGAAGCGCTCTCGCTGTGGCGCCGTGCGAATTTGTCTTGAGCGCGGCGAACCCTCTGCGGAGATCGTGCGTGTCGAAGCGCTCTCGCTGTGGCGCCGTGCGAATTTGTCTTGACCTTGGCGAACCCTCTGCGGAGATCGTGCGTGTCGAAGCGCTCTCGCTGTGGCGCCGTGCGAATTTGTCTTGAGCGCGGCGAACCCTCTGCGGAGATCGTGCGTGTCGAAGCGCTCTCGCTGTGGCGCCGTGCGAATTTGTCTTGACCTTGGCGAACCCTCTGCGGAGATCGTGCGTGTCGAAGCGCTCTCGCTGTGGCGCCGTGCGAATTTGTCTTGACCTCGAACCCTCTGCGGAGATCGTGCGTGTCGAAGCGCTCTCGCTGTGGCGCCGTGCGAATTTGTCTTGAGCCGGCGAACCCTCTGCGGGATCGTGCGTGTCGAAGCGCTCTCGCTGTGGCGCCGTGCGAATTTGTCTTGAGCCCGATGAACCCTCTGCGGGGATCGTGCGTGTCGGATCGCTCTCGCTGTGGCGCCGTGCGCATCTGTCTTGAGCCCGATGAACCCTCTGCGGAGATCGTGCGTGTCGAAGCGCTCTCGCTGTGGCGCCGTGCGATTTTCTTGCTCGCGAAACGGCTTTTGGAAGTTGTCTCGTGGTGTGCGCGCCTGCTTTCGCAATCCCGCGGTCCCGGGTTCGATTCCCCCCTGGTCCGCGGCAGCTCCGGCTTGAAAATCGCAGCTTTTAAGTACAAACGTAGTACGCGGAGCGTGCTCCTGCAGCTCCGGCTGGAAAATCGCAACTTTTAAGTACAGACGTAGTACGCGGAGGCTGCTGCAGCTCCGGCTGGAAAATCGCACTTTTTAAGTACAGACGTAGTACGCGGAGCGTGCTCCCGCAGCTCCGGCTGGAAAATCGCAACTTTTAGATACAAATGGCTGGAAAATCGCAACTGTAAATTGCAAATGTAGCACGCGGAGCGCCTCCGCCGCTCCAGCTTTTTGAGGGTTAATTACTTCACCTGCCAGTTTCTCATGCCGAAACTTCGAGAATTACTTCACCTGCCAGCTTCTCATGCCACCTTTTCGAGAGTTACTTCACCTGCCAACTTCTCGTGCCAACTTTTCGAGGAGTTACTTCACCTGCGAGCTTATCATGCCAACTTTTCGAGAGTTACTACACCTGCGAGCTTCTCATGCCAACTTTTCGAGAATTACTTTACCTGCCAACTTCTCATGCCAACTTTTCGAGAAATACTTTACCTGCCAACCTCTCGTGGCAACTTCACCTGCCAACTTTTCGAGAATTACTTCACCTGCCAACTTCTCATGCCAACTTTTCGAGAAATACTTTATCTGCCAACCTCTCGTGGCAACTTTTCGCAAAATTACTTCACCTGCCAGCTTCTCATGCCAACTTTTCGAGAGGTACTTCACCTGCCAACATCGCCTGCCAACTTTTCGAGAGTTACTTCGCCTGCCAACTTCTCGCGCCAACTTTTCGAGAATTACTTCGCCTGCCAACTTCTCATGCTAACTTTTCGAAAGTTACTTCACCTGCCGGCTTCTCACGCCAACTTTTCGAGAGTTACTTCACGCGCCATCTTCTCGTGCCAACTTTTCGAGAATTACTTCACCTGCCAGCTTCTCACGCCAACTTTTCGAGAGTTACTTCACCTGCCAACTTCTCATGCCAACTCTTTGAGAGTTATTTCACCTGCCAACTTCTCATGCCAACTTTTCTCTTGAGTTACTTCGCCTGCCAACTTCTCATGTCAACTTTGCGAGAATTACTTCACCCGCCAACTTTGCCAGCCAACTATTCGAGAGTTACTTAACCTGCCAGCTTCTCATGCCAACTTTTTGAGAATTGCTTCGCCTGCCAACTCCTCATGCTAACTTTGCGAGAGTTACCTCACCTGCATCAACTTGCCTCTATGCTTCCGGGCCACTCGTCGTCTAGTTTTTTTTTTGGCACTCCGGTTTTGCCAAAGGTTTTGGCCGGGGTTGGCTGGCAAATCTGGGATACCTTGCTGCTGCTATAGGGGAAGGAGAATTGTTGGTTGACCCCAAACAAAAACATCCCGGACATTTGGATCCTTTAAAGGGGATCCCCTTTCGGTTCATTCCCAACACCCGGACTTGGTCATTCCCTACCTATCGCACCAGCAAGACACCCAAAACCCGCGCAACTCGCTGACCTGAGTGAGCGAGAGAGAGAAAGAAAGAAATATATGTCAAATATCATGCTGTACTACTTGTCCCTTGTGCATGCATGATGTACACTACCCGACCGCAGGCCTTGAGTGGTACACGCCTCATTTCTGACCATAATTTCCACTCAAATCTGACCATATGTTTTGTCTCATTTCTGAACATAGGGTGCTACTCATTTGTGACCATGTTTGTCCACTTTGTAGTGACCGTGCTGCGTAGATGCGCGCGCACATGCGTTCAGGTTGCACACAGCGGTTGAGAGGTCGGCATGAAGATGTTTGGTAAGGGCTTTGTCAGGGGGAGCAACCGGCAAGCGCAGCCAGCAAGGTCTTGGGCCCGGTCCGAGCAGAGCCTTGGAGATTGGTGCTGAGCACGCAGTGTGCTTACTGCAAGCGCACTGTGCGCTTCAGCCCAAGTCTTTCCCCCCCAGCCTTCCCGGTCTTTCCCCGCAGCCTTCCCGGTCATTGCTCGACACCGTCCCGGTCTTCTCCCGGGCCTTCCCGGTCCTTCCTCGACGCCTTCCCTGTCTTCTTCTGGGGCTTTCCCGGTTTTCCCTCGGGGCCTTCCCGGTCTTCGCACGACGCCTTCCTGGTCCTTCCTCGACGCCTTCCCGGTCTTCTCCCGGAACCTTCCGGTTATTGCTCGACACCTTCCCGGTCTTTCCCCGCATCCCTCCCGGTCTTTCTTCCCGGTCTTTGTTCGACCCCTTGCCGGTCATTGCTCGACGCCTTTCCGGTCTTCTCCCGGGGCCTTCCCGGTCTTTGCTCGACGCCTGCCCGGTCTTTGCTCGACGCCTTCCCGGTCTTTCCCCCCAGCCTTCCCGGCCTTTCCCCGCAGCCTTCCCGGTCATTGCTCGACACCTTCCCGGTCTTCTCCCGGGGCCTTCCCGGTCCTTCCTCGACGCCTTCCCGGTCTTTCACGGTCATTGCTCGACGTCATTGCTCGACGCCTTCCCCGGTCTTCTCCCGGGTCCTTCCCGGTCTTCCCTCGACGCGATTCCGCTCTTCTCCGTTTTCACGGTCATTGCTCGACGCTTTCCCGGTCATTGTTGGACGCCTTCCCGGTCTGCTCCCGGAAAGACGCTCCGACCGAGACCAGGCGTCACAGGTGAGAGGTCGGCATGAAGATGTTTGGTATAAGGGCTTTGTCAGGGGGAGCAACCGGCAAGCGCAGCCAGCAAGGTCTTGGGCCCTGTCCGAGCAGAGCCTTGGAGATTGGTGCTGAGCACGCAGTGTGCTTACTGCAAGCGCACTGGTTGGACGCCTTCCCGGTCTGCACCCGGGCCTTCCCGGTCTTTCCTCGACGCTCCGACCGAGACCAGGCGTCACAGGTGAGAGGTCGGCACGAAGATGTTTGGTAAGGGCTTTGTCAGGGGGAGCAACCGGCAAGCGCAGCCAGCAAGGTCTTGGGCCCTGTCCGAGCAGAGCCTTGGAGATTGGTGCTGAGCACGCAGAGTGCTTACTGCAAGCGCACTGTGCGCTTCAGCCCAAGTCTTTCCCCCTAGCCTTCCCGGTCTTTCCCCGCAGCCTTCCCGGTCATTGCTCGACACCGTCCCGGTCTTCTCCCGGGCCTTCCCGGTCCTTCCTCGACGCCTTCCCGGTCTTCTCCCGGAACCTTCCGGTCATTGCTCGACGCCTTTCCGGTCTTCTCCCGGGGCCTTTCCGGTCTTTGCTCGACGCCTTCCCGGTCATTGCTCGACACCGTCCCGGTCTTCTCCCGGGCCTTCCCGGTCCTTCCTCGACGCCTTCCCGGTCTTCTCCCGGAACCTTCCGGTTATTGCTCGACACCTTCCCGGTCTTTCCCCGCAGCTTTCCCGGTCTTTCCCCGCAGCCCTCCCGGTCTTTCTTGCCGGTCTTTGTTCGACCCCTTGCCGGTCATTGCTCGACGCCTTTCCGGTCTTCTCCCGGGGCCTTTCCGGTCTTTGCTCGACGCCTTCCCGGTCTTTGCTCGACGCCTTCCCGGTCTTTCCCCCCAGCCTTCCCGGTCTTTCCCCGCAGCCTTCCCGGTCATTGCTCGACACCTTCCCGGTCTTCTCCCGGGGCCTTCCCGGTCCTTCCTCGACGCCTTCCCGGTCTTTCCGCTTTTTGCACGGTCATTGCTCGACGTCATTGCTCGACGCCTTCCCCGGTCTTCTCCCGGGTCCTTCCCGGTCTTCCCTCGACGCCATCCCG